GCTTACTTCAAAGGGTTTTTCTCGTCCCACGATGTTTTCCCAGTAATCATGAACTTGATCCACTGGTATTCGCACCGATGGGTCGATACTCGATGCCGATCGGATGACAGCCGGGTATCCTCTGCGGCGCGCACGCATTCGCTGCAGAGAATTTTCTAGCAACCGGATGTTTGACTGTGTCTGAATAAGCCGATCCTTCAGCTCTCTGATGAGGGCATAAGTCTCGACTTTATGACGAATCTTATAGATACGAACTAGCCCCAGGAAGGCCCTGGATGGATACCAAGGACGATTCCTGGAAACGCATCTTTTTCGATCCGTATTACCATTCACCAAAGTGGTGATGTTTGCCACAAGAGTGCTTCGAATTTCCTGTTCAATTTTTAGAGTTTTCTTCGGGTCTTCGGTATCGTCATCCAACCTGTTCGTAGCGGCAACAATAGCTAGCCCTATTGCATACACCGCTGCGTTAAGTTTGGCGAGATACTTCCGACCGTCCGAACACACGTCCGGCACATGCTGTGCCAAGATCCTAGTGCCGATTTCTAGAAACTCATTTGGGATTTCTCTCAAAGGTTTCCTGATCGGAACTCTGTCATAAGAACCTCTTGCTAAGTAGTGGAATTTTCTGAACTTCCTGGAGATAAACTCCTGGATTTCAAGCTGTTCAGAAGTCTCATTACTTAGACTCAGACTAGTCCCTTGTTCAGAGACTTCGTCAAATCCTTGTGCTCCATCACGAGTCTGGGTTCCTCCTTCCTCGGCAGGCTCAGGGACAGCATCTCGTGCAGTCCCGTCTCGAGTAGGGAGTTCTCCATTCTCGGCATGCTCAGGAGCACCGTCAATTCCTGTAGTCCCGTCGTGAGTTGGGATTTCTCCCTCCTCGTCAGGCTCAGGGACTCGCGAAGTTTCAGATTGGGTGGACGGCACGCTAGCCTCCGTCCGAGATCTTCGCACCAGTTTCGCATAAGCAGCTTTTAAAGCCGCTATGGTCCGCTGGGGCTGACCAGAGTCTCGTGAGTCTTCCCAGGCTACAGCCAAGGGCGCCCACCGAATTCTCCCGTCTGGATGACGGAAACGATTTGCTACTACCTGAAGTTGCTGTAGTTCACGAGTGGACCACAGCCGTTTTCCCCCTTCCCTATCCCTTTGAGCGCGAGGCTCGTAATGGGAATCACGGGGTTGGGGGCTGGATGTGAGTGGCCCTAAAGAGGGCCGCTGGGTCGACGGTGAGCCACTCTCTCGGAGTGGTGATCGCCGTTGTTCGCTACGAACATCGCTGAGACCGGTTACGGCCGGCCACCTCGCTTTAGACATAGCACTTATACAACCCAGTTATCATATTGGTTACGCCCTTTGGTTGTATCTCCTCTTGCAGGGACGATTTATATTTGCAAGAGTGAGGTCTTCCTTCCGAGAACCTTCGGGAAGAGCCCACTGGCCGGTTACAACCATGGCCGACCAGGGCACGGTCGCGGTTAAAGCGCGGCAT